GTCATCACCATGATAAAGATTGATAAATTAAAGTTAAATATCTATAAAATGCACAAGATAAATATACAAGTTTTGAAATTGCAAAGATATGACTTAATCCTAGATAAATCTTGATTATTTCATGCCAATCCAATCATAAATTGAAGAAATAATATCATAATCTTTACCTATAGATCAAAAATAATCAAAGTACAAGCCAATAATAAAATAAAGTCAGGCTCTAGCTATAATTCAATCTATATATCAAGATAACAAATTGCAAACTTGTCAGTAAATACAGAACTCTTCATCATATATCTTAATAATACTAAAAATAAAGAAGAAGCAAAAGAAAAGATACTTTTACCAGAAGTATTAGATATTAAAAGAAGATTTCAAGATATATTTTCAGAAATCTTATCAAATCAGTTATTACCTAAAAGAGTAATTAATTATAAAATTGATCTCATCTCAGAATCTAAACTATCATCCAGATCTATCTATAGGCTTTCTTTTACAGAGATGGATAAGCTCAAGAAATAATTAGCTGATTTAATACAGAAAGATTTCATTTGCCTAAGTGTCTTATCCTTTAGAGCACCAGTTCTTTTTATATATAAGAAAGAAGATACACTTAGGCTATGTGTTAACTATAAAGCTTTAAACAAAATTATAATTAAGAATCACTATTCTTTACCAAGAGTTGATGAGTTAATGAACAGACTCACAGGCTCAAAATACTTTTTAAAGCTAGATTTATATTCAGAATATTATCAAATTCATATTATAGAAGAAGATATATAAAAAATAGCATTTAGAACTTGTTATAAATATTATGAGTTCTTGATCTTATCTTTTGATTTTACCAATACATCCGCTATCTTTATGACACTTATGAATAATATATTTCATGATTATCTTGATAAATTTGTAATTATATATCTAGATGATATTCTAATATATAATAAAATAAAGAAAGAACATATTTAACACTTATAAATAGTATTAGAAATACTTTACAAATACAAATTATATGTCAAGTAGAAGAAGTGTGATATTATTTAGCAATATATAAAATAGCTTGGATACTTTATATCAGCAGATGGTATCTCTATTAACCAAAGAAAAATTATTGCTATTAGAAATTGACCAATATCAATAAATATATTAGAACTTCACTCATTCCTAGATCTTGCAAGTTATTACAGAAAATTTATAAAAGGATTTTTAGCAACTGCCTCATCACTCACAGCACTTCCACATTAAGATCAAGAGTATGAATAGTCTATCATAATGCAATATCTCATATTAGCACCAGTCTTATTGTTATCTGATCCAAAACTATCATTCACAGTCACTATAGATGCTTCAAATTTCACTATAGGAGCTGTGTTAAGCCAAAATCAAGACAAGAATGATCAATCAATAGCTTTTGAATCAAGAAAACTTTTACTAGCTAAACAAAACTATCTGATTTATGAAAAAGAATTACCTGCAATTGTACATGTTATTAGACTCTAAAAGTTATATTTAAAAGAGCAAAAATTCATAGTTATTACAGACTATATCTCTTTAGAATATATCAAAACTCAACACAATTTTTTAAATATAAACTAGATAAAATTTTATTATATATAAATATAATATCTATAAAAATAATAATTTTTTATTAAAATTATAAGTATAATTCCTAGTAAAAGTAATAGTAATAAATATTTTCATCTATATTTTAATAATAAAGCATTCAAAACTTACAAAAATTTGTAGATATATTCTTTAGGATATTACAAAAATGATTCTCTAATAGTACAAGGCATGTTAGCTTAATAATATTTTGCAAAATTTTATATTAAATATGGTAGATTAGAAATCTACCTGAAATAACTTTGAAAAAGAAATTATTTAAAAATATTTTTAATAAATAATTTTGAAAATATTTTTGTAAAAATATATTTTAAGATATAAAGAATATATTTATAAGTTTAAAAAATTTTTCATTGATATTTATTTAATAAATACCAGTTAAAAATAGACTTTATTTTAATAATTTTTATAAGAAATAATAGTAAAATATAGTAAAAATGAATTTTTACTATGATTTATTATAAAATTCATCAAAATAAAGCCTTTTTTAACTGGTATTTGTTAAATAAATATGTAATAAAAAATTTTTTTAAGCTTATAAATATATTCTTTATATCTTAAAATATATTTTTACAAAAAAGTTTTTAAAATTACTTATTAGAAATATTTTTGAATAATTTTTTTTCAAAGTTATTTCATATAAAATCTAATCCATCATATTTAATGCAAAAATTCTACAAAATTTTATTATGCTAATATGTCTTGTACTATTAAAGAATTATATTTATAATATCTTAAAGAATATATTTACAAATTTTATGAATTTTAAATACTTTATTATTAAAATATAAATGAAAATATTCATAACTATTACTTTACCAGGAACTATATTAAGCAAGTTATAAAAAAATCTACTATAATCTGATAATAATATTATAATTTCTTGTTTAATATAAAAGAGATAAAAAAATAAAAATTTATTATAATTTGAAATATTATAAATTATTAATAAATAAAAAATATATACTTATAAGAAGTCAAAAAAGATATTTTAAATTATTTCTATATAAAAACTTATCTAAAAATTTTTTAAATAATTTAATTTCTTTTTATAATATAATTTATTTATTAAATTAAGAGAGTATAATATTTTAATAATTGATTTATAATTATAAAAGAAGTTATAAATAGAATTAAATAGAGAAAATTAATAAATATTATATTTTATAATTTAAATTTTATAGAAATATCTGCAAGTTAATGAAAAATAATTTTTAAAAGTGCAAACTTTTTGGAAATTATAAAAAAATTCAAGATTACTCTAAATAAATTATTAATATATTGGCTTTAAGAAAATTATAAACTAATATTTTGAGAAATCAAAATAATATTATAATTATATGAAGAGCTAGTAATATATTAATTAATAATAAAATAAATATAAAGAGAAAAAGAAGGAGAAAAAAATAAAATTTAGTTAATAATAAAAATATATATAAAGAAAAAAAAAATAAAAAGAAATAAAATAAATTAGATATATATTTAAAATTTATTTTTAAAAAAATTTAGATTATTTTTGTAATAATTATATATATATATATATATATATATATAAATATTAGAAAAATTACTATAAATAAATATATATATAATATATAAAAATAAATTACTAATAACTTAATACTAATTAATTTTAATACAAAGTTTAAATTTAAATAATATAATAATTATATTAAATTTAACAAATTTTATTTAAAAGATAAAAATTATAACTTTTAAATAATATTTTATTGAATAATCTTTACTTTTTATAATAATAGTAATTTAATAAGATATATTATTAATAAGATTTTAATATTTATCAATATCTAAATTTAACTATTCTTTTTAAAGTATTTTTCATAAATTCTTTTTATTTTTGATAATAATATATATATTCAACCTTATTTCTCTAATTTATTTTATAAATTTTTAATTGAATTCAGATTCAGACTCTATATAAATCATGAAATATTATCAATTTTATTTTCTTCTTTTTAACTTTTAATTATTCTTGCAATATGTATAAATAAATAATTTTTCAAATTATTCAAGTTATTTAGAAATGATAACAAATAATTTTTTAATATATTTATATATACTATAGCTATTACTTTTTCATTTAATTTTATTAATAAATCAAGATTATATTTTATAAAATATTCTCATATTATTATCTCTTGTTAATCTGATTTTACAATAAAAATTAAACAATTTACATCATATTTTTCATGAAACTGTTTCAAAATTAATCTTTATTATTTTCTCTAAATAATTCAAACTTGGATTTATCACTCTAAATCACTCTTTTCCATTCATCCATCTGTTCTCTTTATTCTCTATTCCAGGTAAGTCTTTTTATCTCTATTTTCTCACTTATAAATAGTTTTCTAATATCAACTTGACTATAAAAATCTTGTTCATAAAGTTACTTAAAGTTTTTTTACAAGCATCTTTTGTGATTGAACTGGTAAAATCTTCATGTAGTTCTTCAAGATTTAATTTTTTATCTTTTTTAAGAATATTTGTTAAATGACAAATATTCCTTTCAGTTATTATTAGTGATCTGCCAGTTCTACAAGGTGAAACTTCATATTCATAGTCTCTGTAACTAGAAATAACACTATAAATAGTAGTTTGAGGATGGTTTAAAGCTTCAGCAATCTTAAAAGCACATTTATAATTTCAAAAATAGAAAGTTCTTTTTTTTTATCAACCATATCTTATATGGGAGAGTCTTGGCAATACGTGGCAAAAAAATAGAGAATAGAATGATTGATATAACAGGTTTTAAAGGTAAACAAATAAATGATTGGTAATCGCATGGTCGGTGACTTTTTTCCACGCACTGTACATATAGGGCTTTGACTAGAGTTGGAACCGGTTATATTTTTAATATTAAAATTCGGATATAATCCGAATTTTAGCATTAAAAATATAACCGGTTCCTAAACTTTAGATATTACATAATTTTTTATTATAGAGTTACCCTATTTGAAATACGTGTATATTAATGACTCATATAATAAAAACATTGTCGCCACACCCCTCAAAATATTACGTGTCACGGCATATACAGTTCGTAAGAAATAAGATTCCAACCCGGATAATTTGAATCATTACTATCGAACGTGGTTTTCATAGTTAAATTCATCGCTATGCAAATTCGAGTCTCATCCCACGTTAAGATGAAATGTATATACATGTATTTGACTACATTTTTATAATTTAATAAATTATAATAAAATTACATGATATTAATTTATATATATGATAATTAAATTATGCCTGAACCTAAAAAAATTTGACCTGTTTATAATACTTCTCAAGAATGTCTTCAGATTAATGATTTGATATTATTTAATAAACTGATGATTGAGAATATCATCAGATTCAGCTTATTGTTGCTCCCCGAAAATAGATACAAACTGATAATGGGGAATTTGGTAGAATTCATTTCGTTGTTGCTCTACGACAATATTTCCAATCTGACAATTGAGAGTTTCATAAGATTCATTTTGTTGTTGTTGCTCTCCAAAAATAACTTCAAACTGATTATTAGAAATTTGATGAAATTCCTCTTGTTGCTGTTGCTCTTCGAGTACAACTCCATTGAAAATTTGGCTAGATTCGATTTGTTGGTATTGTTCACAGAGAATGTTTCCGAGCTGGAAAATTTGATCAGATTCGTTCTGATGTTGCTCGCCGATGGTGTCACAGAACTGATTATTGGGAATTTGATAATATTTTTCTCGTCGTTGCTGTTTCCTGGAAACACCTCCAAACGGACGGTGGCGATTGAGGGGTTTGTTTTGTTTATAATGTTGTTGACGGTTAGGAAACATAAACGAATCTAACTTTGAAGAAATCTCATAATAGGCTTCTTTACAGTGTTTAGGCATCATTTTCCAATGATAGCTGGTAAAGCGAGAAATTTGAACAGCATCACCTATTGGAATATTTAGGTATTTTGTTTCTGCCACGATGCATGCTCGAAATACAAAGTACGCGTTCGGTGCTTTTTTTTGGTATGTTCCATCTCTTTTTATTTTTAAGAAATGTTCAAATGAAAGATAAGGGGAATAAGACGGTTCATATTCAATTAGACGATAAGAAGTATAAGACAGTTCACCCATCTTATTTGACCTTTCGACAAACTCGGGCCCAGTCTTTAAATAACATTTCTTCGTTGCACATTAACTAACAAGTTAATTATAATTTTCGTTAATTTACAATTTTTACTCGAATATTATATAAACACTTTCGGTTAAATGGCAACATTATCTACAGTATATGCGTCAATTGAAGAGTATAGTAATATTGTAAATGCCACTGAATAATAAGGTTTATAATTCTAAGACCTCGAATATATTCGCATACTTTATTAAAAAGTCAAAATACCTTTAAATATTCAAACTTTATCTTTACCAGCGTGACTTTGTGATGGCCTCGAGTTTGCATAGTCTAAATGTAAAGAATTTGATCGTGCAACGCTAAAATATTTTAAAAAAAATTAGATTTCGATAATCAGAAGTAGATTATATGTGCGTTCTTTCAAAAACTTGGTTTGACTGGAACAAAGTTACGCGAAAATAAATAGCATTAAATAGCGTGTTATTGTAAAATAAATGTAAACTCAAATGCATTGTGCTTAAATGTTATTAAATAACAAGGATGAAAAGATTTATAATTCTAATCAAATATACCTTCAAGTAATCAAACGTTATAAGCAAACGATGATTTAGCACAGCAAAGTTAATCTAAACATGAGCACTAATAAAAAATTAAATTAGAATAGTTGAACTGTGATCTCGATTACTGTGTATCTTGTTATAAATTAAAATAGAATTAAACGAAATAAAATTACGCAATATTTTGTTATCGTAAAAGTAAAACAATGCATCAATGATAAGGAGAAAATTAATATAATCCTAATGAAAAATAATATGTCCAAAAAAGTATTACAGGTTTTATAAGAAGAAACAGATACCTTTAAAATAATCAGGCGATATAATTCAGAGATGTTTAGCCGCAGCATGCCATAATGTCGACTTTTAAATTAATCCAAATATAGATTACTAATAAAAAATAAAGTTTAGAAGTTTAGAATTAACAAGTAGAATACACATCTTTTTCCTAAATTATATTTGATGGAAATGTGGATTGGAATCATAATAAATGTGCTCGACTTTTGGTGGTTTGAAGTAAAATTCTGAATATAATGATTTCTCTCCAAGAGATTCAATTTCTTTATAATGAATTCAATTTATATCAATAAGTATTACATAATGATTGTCTAGATAACGATGATGCCAAATGTAATGGGATCATCATTTAGCATACTCCATTTGTCGTTATAGAAATTTTGTGTAACTAAGGCCAAATTCATGTCGATGTCCCATGTCTGTTTCTAATAAGGATAGGATAGAAAAAATATAATTCTAAATATAAATATAAATTCATTTTATTTCTAAATAAAAACAAATAATGCTCTGTTTAATGTTATGCATTAAATCGATCGCAATTTATCCTTTGGCAATTTGTAATTACATGTATCTGTAAAAACCCTTTACTCTGATTCTATATCCCAGATCCGGAATAATTGCGTTCTGGTAATGATAAGGTGATAAAGAGGCGAACTTATTTTATTTATTCTTGATACATATATCTTTATCAACAAATTATATATGTAACCTGTTTTTGTACGTCACAATTCTATCTTCTTTTAATTCGAATTTGTAATAGAATAAGACATTTAAAAGTACAATAAAAAATTTGATAAGCTGAATATCTTTTTGTGTATTGCTCAACACACAATTATTATTTATATGCTTGGCAATCGACAATACACATGTATATGTGTACAAATAGGTTACTTCAATAACATTTTCCGTTCAAGAAATACCAATTTTGCAATAATCATGCATGAGAAAGTCAACAGCCTTTAAATTTTATAGAGTTCTAAAAACATATCGGAAGTAAGGGGTGAGAAATTGATTGTAAAAAGAATCATTTGTTTAATCAGTGTTCTTAATTCTATGTAAATTTTTTTTGAAATCTCCCAAAAAATACTAGTTAATAACTAAAAAAAAAGAACAACTGTGACTCCTTTTTGACTAAACACTCAATTAGAAAACTGAGAGATGCAATATCTAAATATATACATATTCATGTACTTGTCAAACTATTATCATAGTGCACATGATAAGAAAAGTTTGATTCATGCGTGCAATTTGCACAAAAAATGCATATTGATTTATAGAAAGTTTAATATAAAAATTTTCATTGTAGAAACTAAAAATACCTTATAAAGAAATAATTATTAAGTAAATCTAAATATTGAATGCAAATGCATATGCAAATATAACAACTATTAATTTAATTATTATAAACTACATGTATATAAATAATAATTACATGTAGTAAAAACATGCAGATTCAACCAAAAAATATAATTAGAAATGTAAAAATATTTTTTTTATTCCAATACTCATGGAATTTATATATTGATATTTTAACTCATATAAAAATATACTAAGAAATTTATTTATTATATTTCATAATAGTTTATTACGATCATTAATTGAATATTTATTAATTTTATCTAGAAATTACATTGTTATAAAAAGAAAGAATACACCGATCTTAAGTATTTTAGGAATTTACTTAAATTTTTTTAATATTTAATTTAAATTCATAATTTATAAAATTTTATTTTTAAATAATGATTTTTTATGCTATTAATAAAAAATTGATTTTTAAAATAATTAATCTTTGAAATTTTAATTCTAATAAACTTAAATTATATATTTTAGTTTTTTATAATGTGAATAAAAATTATCAAGCATATTTAATTATTAAAAGAATAAATACTTGAGTTTTTTACTAATTATACTTTATATTTTATAGTGAAGACCAAAAGTAATGACTCAGGGACTAAATTTATTAATAAAACATAGTGAAAATTGAAAATTTCTCTCTATATTAAAATTTATTAAAAAATAATTTTTATTTTTATATTAAAATAAAGTTTATCAGTTATAGTTTAACATATATTTTTTTCAAATTTTTTAGATTTTTTCTGAAAGAGTTGCTCTAATTGTAAAGTTAATGCAAAAATTTTTACTAATTAAAAATGAAAT